AGCCTCCCAAGTAGCTGGGATTACAGGTGCCCGCCACCACGCCCAGCTAATTTTTGTATTTTTAGTAGAGTTGGGGTTTCACCATGTTGGCCAGGCTGAACTCCTGACCTCAGGTGATCCACCCACCTCAGCCTCCCAAAGTGCTGGGATTACAGGCATGAGCCACCCAAACCGGCCAGATGCTAAATTTTTTTTTTTTGACTTCTCAGGGTTGCAAACATTTAGAAGACAGATAATACCCATTGTTGGTGAGGTAATCAGAAATAGTTATATTGTTGACAGCAATGAAATTTGGTACAACCTTTCGGACCTTTATACATAGTAACGTGGAATGCTGCTGAAATATATTATAAAATGGAAGTAAAAAGTTCAAAAGCACTATAGTATATACATTGAAAAAATATTTGAGGTGATAGGAAAAGTTAACATTGATTCTCTCTGGGTAGGATTGGTGAGTCAACTTTATATGTTAGCTATAACTACAGTGTTTTAACATTTATAATTAAGATCTATTACTTTTGTAATCAGAAAAAAAAAGTTTTTAAAAGGCAATTTTACAATTCTTTTTTTTACAGGAGATTACATGCTTGATGCAAAGCCAAAAGAAATTTCAGAAATTCAACGTTTAAATTATGAACAGGTAATAAACACAATTTTTGTTAAAGTATATAAAGTATATAATTTTAAAGTTTAAATATATACATTGGTCTCTATTAGTAGCTGGCAGCATTTTTCTATAAAGGATTAGATAGTAAACACTTTAGACTTTGCAGGCCACATGTGGTCAGTCTCTATTACATATTCTTTGTTTTCTTTTTTTATACCTCTTTAAAAATATAAAATCCATTTTTAGCTCACAGCCAGATTTTTTCCTTTTTTTCTCTTTTTTTTTTCCTTTTTCTTCTTATTTTTTTCCTCAGTATTTTTCCTTTTTTTTTCTCATTCCATGACGGATCAAACCTAGTGTTTTTCTTGAAAAACTGACTTCCAGGTGAATTTGTCATTGATGTATCTTTCCTAGTTTTATTTATATTTTGTAATTAAGTTATGTTCAGGAGAAAGTTGAACAAATGATGTATATGGAATGTCATTAGGACAAGTTTTGCTATTTGATAGTTTCAGTATCCACATTCCTTGACATGTTCTTTAGAGATCCTGTTCTGCATTGTAGGAGGTATCACTAGGCTCAAAATTATTGGTGCTGGAAAAAAGCAAGCGGAGTTTTATTTTCGTCAGTATTCTTCCTTTACTTGGCAAAGACAAGAAGGAATTGGCTTCTTAGAGTGGAAGGAAGTATTAGCCAGGGAAGAAAGAGACATCGTTGGAACCTTCACATTTACTTTCAAAGCAACCTTTTTAACATACTTTTACCAGTATCAAATTTGCAAAAAGAAAGCATAACTCATTTCAGTCTTGCAAAATTTCTTGAATTTAATGTTCAGATAATCTAGTCCTATAGAATTTGAAAAATCAACAAGTTGGCTGGGCGTGGTGGCTCACACCTGTAATCCCAGCACTTTGGGAGGCCCAGGTGGGCAGTTCACGAGGTCAGAAGATGGAGACCATCCTTGCCAACATGGTGAAACCCCATCTCTACTAAAAATACAAAAAAAATTAGCTGGGCAAGGTGGTGCGCGCCTGTAGTCCCAGCTACTTGTGAGGCTGAGGCCGCAGAATCACTTGAACTCAGAAGGAGGAGGTTGTAGCGAGCTGGAATCCCGCCACTATACTCCAGCCTGGTGACAGAGCGAGACTCTGTCTCATTAAAAAAAAAAAAAAAAGAAGAAGAATCAACAACTTACGTTGCATCATATCATAAGATACGAAATCTAGGCCAGATGCTGTGGCT